TTATTTATATATTTTTTAATCACACATTCTAATTAAAGTGTGATTATTTATATATTTTTTAATCACACCTTCTAATTAAAGTGTGATTAAATACATTATTACTTTTTAATCACACTTTTTAAATAAGTGTGATTATATATATATATATTTAATCACACTCCCCAAATAGGTGTGTTTGTATAAAATATTCCAATTTGATTTGTATATAAAAAATACAATTCCCATTTTTTTTTTTTTTAAAAAAAAGTCCAAAAACCAAAACAAAAATAAAAAAAAAAAAAAATTCAAAATACATTTAACTCGTTGGCTACTTCTAATCAAAAGGAAAGTAGAAGGTTAGGGTTCATCACAAGGCGCAAGAGAGAGAGAGAGAGAGAGAGAGAGAGAGAGAGATGGAGTTAGGGATGGCAATTTGAAACCGGCCCGATGGGGACCCGACCCCCCGACCCGAATTGAGCGTTTCTCCGAAAAATACCTCCGACGGGACGGGGATGGTATTTAAAAATCAATCCCCGAACAGATTTGGGCAGGGGACGGGGATCAGTGTCCCAGCCCTGTACCCGGCCGTCCCCGTCCCCGATCCCCGGCCCGGTTTATCCCCGATGTTAAATTACAATTTTACCCTTATATATATATATATATAAACCACTAACTTTACCCTTATTTCACCTCAGATCTCATCTCTCTCTACACCCCGTCTCCGTCTCTCATCTCTCTCTAGCTCACTGACTTCTCTCTCTCTCTCTCTCTCAGATCTACCGCCACCACACCGTGTCTCTCATCTCATCCACTCCCTTTCTTCTCGACGTCGCCGACCACCATTGCCGTCTAGCTCGTACCACCACCACCACCACCACCGCGTCTCTCATCTATTCTCTCTCTTCTTGACGTCGCCGACCACCACCGCCATCCAGCTCGCACTACCACCACCACCACCGCGTCTCTCATCAGATCAGATCTTTTTTTTGTTTTTGTTTTCAGATATGTTTCAGATTTGTCTCAGATCTGTTTCATAATTTTTTGTTTTTGTTTTTAGGTCTGTTTCAGATCTGTCTCGGATGATGATGATATTGTTGTATTTTCTGAATTTTTTTTTCTTGTTTTCAGATTTGTTTCAGATCAGATAGATCTGTTTCACAATTTTTTTTTTTGTTTTTAGATCTGTTTCAGATCTGTTGGATAATGATGTTGTTGTTGTATTTTTTGATTTTTTTTTTTAGCCGGGGAATGCTCGGGGTCGAGGAAACCCGATCCCTGTTGGGGACGGGGGTGGGGGTAGTGATAGGTTCCCCGTCGGGGATCGGGGCCGGGTCGGGGGAAATTCGACCATCGGGGATCGGGAACGGGGAGTGTGTTCCCCGGCCCCGCCCCGCCCCGTTGCCATTCCTAGATGGAGTGCGTTCAATACTGTTGGGGGCAGAGTGTTTCTTACGATCGCCATTTTCGGAGGCATCTCTCTTATCACCCCAAACCATCCTCGCCTCGAAAAGCCCTCCGCTTGCGACGTCAGCATCGTCGCCGGCAAGAAGCTTCTAGTCTTCGAAATTGTCTCCTTCAGCTTCTTCCTATTCTCCTCTTTAGTCACTGAGGGCCTCAAGCTCGCCATCAATCTCTTGAACATACAACAAAAGGAGTCTTTAACTAATGATGAAAATAAATTTTATCACAAAAGACATATCTTTTAATGAAGAAAATAATCTTTCATCTCTAAATTAAATATTGTTAGAAGATAATTTAATTAATCTTAAACTTTAAATAAATTTATTATGAAAGTCCACAAGGCTACTAATAATAATAATAATAATAAAACAAGGAGAGTAATTAGTTTAGGGTTAATAATATAAATACATAAATAAATAAAAACCTAAGTTCTTATTAACACAGCCTTCGCAGCCGTGAGAATGAGGGGGAAGGAGAAGAACAGCCGCAGTCCAGGTCTTGGACTTAGGTTTCGTAGCTCTTGCTCTGGGCCACCATTATCACAGGTAAGAAAACTTCCATTTCACTCTCTATTTTTCTGAAATCTGGTTCTTCTCTGATCTGATGAGTGAAATAGGTTTGAATTCAGTTCTGAAATGGTTTGATTTTTAAATTTCTTCCATGATTGAAATGGGTTTCTGAAATGATCTTTATTTTCTGAAAGGGGTTTCGGAATGGTTTCTATCATTGCACCGTTTCAAAAATGGTTTGTCATCTGTATTTGCTGATTTTATTTTCTGAAAGGGGTTTCAAAATGATCTTTATTTGCTGATTTTGGATTGTTTTTTCTCTCATCTATATAGTTTCTCTGTGTATAGCAAAGATGAGTCATGCTATATACTTTTTGTGTCTGCAAGGTGCTCGACAAAATGTCGCAATGGCATTGCAAAGATGAGATTTGTCATCTCAGTTCTGTTATTTCTTGTGTTCATTTTATTTGGAGGTAAACACACGTTGGTCCTTTTTCAAAAGCTTCAGTTTTGATTTGTATATATGTTTTTGCTTGATTTTGATTTTCTTGTTTTCAAAAATTGTAGTTGCGTATGATCCATTAGCTTCAGTTGTGGCTATACATGTTGTTAAGAGTCATTTTGTTATTTTTATTACTATATGGTTAACTAGAGTGGAATTTTAAGTGGTTTTCATTGATCAAAATTTTAATAAACAACAGAGAGTCTTAGTAATTAATTTCTGATGTTAAAGATTTTGTATAACATAAATGTCTGCTGAACAATGCATGTGGTTTAAGGATGTGATACAAAGTGCTACTCTGTTTTTGTCTTTTCTTTTTTTCTTTTTCCCTTTAAATTAAAGAAAGTACATGGTTGTTGAAGTTGGGGAGAGTTTTAATTTTGTTGTTTATTTTATATGGAAGAAAGGCCCTTCTGGTTATATTTTTCTTCTAATCTCAGTTGTGTATAAATTTTCTGCAAAGTAGAATGAATATTATGTCATGCTAATATATTATTCATTTTATTGTATTGTCCATGTCAGAAAGCTTTTTATGTGTTCTCTAATAAGTAATGTTTCATTATAGTTGGCTTATTGACTCAAGTATTTATGAGTAATGAATCTTCCCAAACCCACCTATGATAGACATTTTGTAATTTGGTATCTTCTAGCATTAGTGGGAGCATTCAGGAATTTGTGATCATGTTTCTTGAGATATACAATTATCCATGTTATCTTTTTGCCTTTCCTAACTTAGGAATTGTTTGGTCGTCTTTTTTAATTACTTTTTGCCTATTTAAGCAAAAAAAATTAGATCATTTTGCTTGTTTGCAGTTCCTTTTGTACTCTATTCAACCAGACAAGTTTTATTAATTGCTCTTGCACAAATTAAGAGGTACTTCTATATTCTTCTAATTGCATGAACCAATTGATTTGATTTGGTGGGTCCACTTTGAATTTGAGCATTGTTTATTTATTTGCATTTTCCTATTTGATCCCATTATTGATGGTAGAGAACTACAGATCTCATTTGACAATTTTCCATATTATTTATGGTAGAAGCCTTCCGCACAACTGTAATCTTTCCTGTATAGTCATTTTATGTACTTATTCTATGTTCTAACATCCACTGCAGATCTCTTATCATAATTCAGCTTTTGAATATGTTAGCATATTCCACAGTACTTTTGAACTTGATAACTAGTTCTTATATAAGATGTTGACTAGTTCCCTTCTTCTGCTAGATAGGTAATATAATGATCTAAATGGAAGCACACATTTACACTGAAATTGATAAAAGTTCAATTGATTAGTTTGCTTGTAGACATTGGATTGGATGAGAAACATTTTTCTTTTCATCACACTACAACAAAAAACGCATTTTATAGCATTCGATGAATGCTATCAAAAGTAAGCAATAGCATTCGTTGGAATGCTATGTTTGCCCATGTTATTAAAAGTGTATCATTTTTAATAACATTTATCGAATGTTATCATTGAACGCTATCGTAAATATATTATAACAATTTTTGAATGCTATGAAATAGTTAAAAGTTACTAAAAATACCAAAGGATAACATTTTGTTAATGCTATGAAATTGTTTTTATAGCAATCTAGTAATGTTACAATTTACCATATCATAACTAACTAAGAATGTTATAATAAAGCATGATAATAATCAATGTAACATAGCTCTGGACTCCACTCAAATTGGGAAGTCCAATGACATAACTATAAGAAGGCATGTGTTCTGATAGGTGCAGACCAAACCGCTAACCATGTACTAAACCAGGAGACCAACCTCACAAGTGCACAGCCAAATAAAATCATGAGCTCATGGGGTCCTTTGACCCCACTTCCCATTACGCCACATTATTCGATTTTGACACAAAATAGCCAACCAAATCTTGTAACTTTCTCAATGTTTCTCTCTACCTGCCTTAATCTGAGGTCCTTGGAGCCTTTCAGGACACATTTTTGGTGTCACATTCATTAAATAGTCATAGTCCTTAATACGAAAAGCACACCGTCTCTCACTTCCTCCTACTGCCGAAGTGATCTAAATCAAGCACTCTGAAGAAAGATCAAAAAAATGAATGTAACTCCAATTTATGTTGAAATTTGGATGATGAAAACTGTTCTTAATATTTTCTGAGTTCATATTTTCATATATCTTGATTGCAGTTACTTGGTTGGATGCATCGCAAGTTCCAGGCCAATGAACCACTGAAGGATTTTAGCGTAGGTAAGTCATGTATACCCTTACATATTTTTCTTCTAACGCTTTGCTAAAGCAATAATGAAAAGATTGGTGCACATATTAGAGTCAGACTGTAAGTGCAGTATTAAACATAATCATGAGTAGTCATTATAATATTTGTGGTAAGACCAATATAATCTAGTAGCATAATCAGTAGATCACTGGAAATTCGATAAGTCAGGTGTTGTTTAGGAAAGACAGCTTCAAAGCAAAGTAGCTGTTACATACCTGGAAATAATTAACCGCATAAGACCAGTGTACTTAGCAACTCTCCATGCTGCATGCTTATTTATAGCTGGAGTACAGCTTCAAGTTCAACTAAATGAACTACATACTGTAAGATTGTTACACTTGACATTCCCTTTGAGTATAAAGCTAATTGTTTTCCCAATCAATATTCCTTCATTGCTATTTCTACACGTCCCTGATTCCTGTACTAAAAATTGAGATAATGGTAAACATCAACAAGCCCATGAGTCATGATCCATAATATTTAAAACAACAGCAAAGCATAATATGCCATTAATTCTTTTGAGAAGCATTTGAAAACACAAACCTACATGACATCCCTCCCAACTAACCTCACCATTATCCCAATCATTTAACATTTCTTCTGTCAGGGAATTCTTGTACTTGTCTTTCAGGGCAGCCATCATTGGATGACCAACAGTACTACCCAAAGTTAGTACTGGGAGAAACAGTCATGTTAGTACTGGAAGAAACATTTATGTTAGCACTGGAAGAAGCTGCCATGGTAGCACCATTACACTTAGAGGAAAGCCATTGGAAGGCACAGAGACCAGTGGGAATGGAACAATAATCTGTCCACTCTAGGGCTATCTGTTTGGATCAGCAATTGAGTTGCCAGAAACAACCACAGTGGTAAAGAAGGAACATAGAACATCGCTTGGGGAGCTGTTTCAGAGGACAAAAATAGCAGAGGAAAATTATGTAGCCAAAAGCGAGAGGGGAGAAAAACGGACAGAAAAGGAGACAGATAAATCAGCTATACACCTCATGAAAAAGATGATGAAGAAAAGAATGGTTCATGGTTCTTCTCGGAGCTCCACCACATCGACTGGGGGAAATGTTGACTCTGCTTCATCTGAGACAAAACTGCATAAGGTATGTGTACTTCTAGTTTAGACCTCTATTACATGAACTTGGGTGCAATGCATATCAAAATGCCAGACCCAACAAATCTCAAATTTAAGGTATGCAAACTCGGCAAGAAAAGGTCAATTTTTTTTTATATTATTTTTAATATATTATGTGAGACAAAATGGAAACATATAGTCTCAAAAAGGCATTTTACTTATTTTACTTCAGTCATTTGATCTATGTAGTGGTTTCACTATGTGGGACTATTGCAAACTTTCTTGAAGTGTTGAGATGCCATTATACCCTTATAGTGTACTGAATGTGCTTGTTCATCTTTAAGAACTTGTTTAACGTAAGTGTTCTTGAGTTATGGTTACATGCTCTCCAGTTACGGTTACATGCTCCCTTTTCTGCCTATGCAACAGTTTGATCGACAATTGTACTTTGTAGTTCTAATTTAAGCTCATTTACTTGACTATGTTAGTCTCATTTATAGGGGCTACTATGGTTTTCCATGGGTTTTAATACTTCATTGCAAGCTAGTAATGGAAATTTCAAATTTTCATTTCTTTCAGTGATAGGACAAAATATTATCCGTTGGCATCCTTTGTTCTACACATAAAGCATAGTGAGTCCAAGGATTCCGCTGTAAGCCCAAGAATTTTGCTTTCTGGTCCTGCAGGTGAACAAGACCATCTCCTTGTCCTAGAACATTTTACGATCTCTCTTACTCAAAATAAGTTAGTCTGAGTGGAGAGATTTTTGAGTGATTTTTACCCAAATTTAAATTTGATATAGGTTTCAGTCAAGGGTTGGAGATGCCATTATATCACTGTGTATTCTATATTTAATTTTCATTTTGAGACTAAATAGTATTGTTTGCCTTTTATTTGTAAATATTTCAGATTTATCATGATATGACAGCTCATTTATCTCACTATTTTGTATAAACGGGCCATAATTTGTATCTAACGGGAAATCAACTAAGGAGTGACTGCAGTGATGTCCCGATCATACAAGCATTGCAGAGAGGTGTTAGAGTATTTGAACTGGATATCTAGCCGAGTTCCACAAAAGATAATGTCAATGTTCTTCATGGAAGGTAATTGTGCTAATTTGCAAATGGCAGTCAATTCTAATATGGGAATTTTGAACCCCCCAAGTTATACTTTAGGATTATATCTCTATGTGACTTTGTATATGATGGTATCTAGAACATTTTTTACAAATGTGCAATTACCAGTATGTGTATACCCAAGGAGTTGAGTTGTTTTTCTTCTTTCTAAGGAAACTCTGGCCAACCTCCCAAGCGTTTAGAAGTTTCTAGGAGCTCAAATGGAGAAGATGATGAAGAATGGTCGCTGATATCTGAAATGCACTCAAGGTATTTGCACAATTAATATTCAATTGCATTTCTTTTGTAGAACATTAAATATTTGAGATTGGTAGAGCCTCTTAAACTAAGTTGTTGGTTATAGTAAAATTTCTGTTAAACTTGCAATTTATGTGGGTAAAGTGACATTTTATTTTTACACGCTTCATGTCATGCTAGAGGTATTTAATGTTAAGACATTTGAAGGGGTGTGATCAGTCGGATTTTATCTTTTGTGAGACTAGAACAATCTCTAAAAATAGTTAGTTTATTCATATGCTTCTAGCGGTTTCTGAATTAATTTGTGTTTTCATTTTTCAGGTTAGAAATTTCTTGGAGAGATGCAAAATATGGTCAAAGAATTCAAGAACTTAATTTTGCAAGTTTTTTCATTTTTTAATATATGTAAGCATAGTGTAAAAACTTTTTATTTAATTCCTCTGTGTATACTTTTGAACATGAACATATTTAACTTTCATTTATGAAATATATGACGTTATTCCATTCAATATGTGATTGTGATTCAAAGTATAGTATATAGTATGTATTACATTCTTGAAATGTGCGTATAAAAATAATATTGATTATTCTTCAAATATGTCAAATTCTTTTTTTTATCGCAGGTTTTATTAGTTATTAATCACACTTAAAAGATGTGATCTAAATATTATTATCACACTTAAAAGATGTGATCTAAATATTATTAATCACACTTAAAAGATATGATGAAATCATTTTTAATGACACTTAAAAAGTGTGATTAAAAATGACCCATTTTAATCACTCTCAAAGACCACACTTAAAAGATGTGATCTAAATGTTTTTAATTACACTTAAAAGATGTGATCTAAATATTATTAATCATACTTAAAAGATGTGATAAAATCATTTTTAATGACACTTAAAAAGTGTGATTAAAAATGACCCCTTTTAATCACACTCTCAATGACCACACTTTAATAAAACTTAAAAGGTGTGATTAAAACACATATATCACACCAAAAAAGTGTGATCTTTATCTGTATTTAGTCACTGATCTATATATGTACAATAGAGTCTTTAATCTAACTATGGTTTATACTAACTCAACATCTAACAACTTCTTGACTATAGTAAACTAACAACCTAACAGACTCAACTACATCAGTTATTTTATTCTTCTGATGGTTGACTTGTAGAAGTTGCTGAGATGGGTTGAGCTATACATGGTGGTTTATCAGTATTATTAGATTATATATATATATATATATAATAAATACAATATATGTTGTAGCGGTTGGTTTCAGTTTTGTTCAATGCACAAAGTGCTTGAACTGATAACGAACTAAAAATAAAAATAAAAAATCAAATTTAAAAATCATACAGACCGATTCTTGTTTAAAAAATAGACCAAATATAGCCAGTTTAATCTGATTCAATCTATTTTTTTGATTTTTCTTATATCCCTAACAGTATGAATGCCAGATTCAATTCCTTTGTAGTTGCTTCCTTATCTTCCATGCTTGCAAAGCACTAGTGGCATCTAGCCTCCTTCCATCGCTTTGCGACCCTTGCTCTCCATTTCCTGTGATGAGTTTTTTTCCCTTGGGCAAAGTATTGACAGCCTTCAAATGTTATGTAGAGTTACACGACTTATACTCGACAAAAAAACAAAATGGCAAAAGGAGTTTGAACTTAAAGCAACTATCGGAGGTGATGATAAGCTTCAAAAGGACATGACCAGTGTTATACGACTTATATTGGACAAAAACACAAAAGGTAAAAGACGTTAGAAGAACTTAAAGAAACTATCGGAGATGGTGAGCTTAACAAGGGAATGACCACACAATGTTTATGGTTAACTCCACAAGAATTAAGTGCCCAGACCAAAATTGACTGCAAGGAAAATTCATACTTTTCATTGCTTTACCATTGTTGTGGTGGCTAATTCTGGAAATGTCAAGAGAACACTTAGGCCAGTTTCCAGAAGTTTTTCATCAGTGATTTTATTGGATCGAACATTCCCAACTATTCAGAGAAAACTTTCACCAAAAGTTCAATACTGTACAGGGTTAGGTATCAATTAATTTCTCATATTTTGGTGTATGTGATGTTTAGATGAATATTTTACAGTTTTTAATCTGGATAAAGAAGCAACTAAAAGAACTGATAAAAAAAGAATGAAAAACTAATCCATACAACAATAGAAGTTATCCATAGAAAATTTAGCATTTTCGTCTTATTGTTATTGCTGATAAAAGAACTAAAATAAAAATAAAATAAAATAAGTTGTTGTACAATTTACAACGAACATAAGGAAGGAAAACGGAAACAGATATATCACTGAAACTGAATACATGAATCCAGTATAGGTCTGTAAAATGTGATAAGTTAATCATATACTTAAGCAATACATGGTATAGGAGGAGGAGCACTCTCAGACATTCTGTTCGGTTGTCCTGACTGAAGTCAACAGGACTTGGTCGGTGTAGTTACACAATTATTGTGCAATCGGACAGATGGTTTGCTCAGTCCTAGGAGTTAGAATGCTTCACTTGGATTTGTGTAATCAGCGTGTAAGGATGGGCATCATTCTTAAGAAGTTGATTCCTAGTACGACTTTAAGAATATGAATTAGAGTCCTACTAGAATTCTACCATACGGAAAAGTTAAACCTAATGGAAGTAATGCAACATTGTTCACTAAATTATTAGAGCTTTTTCTCATATTAATCTTAAGAGTTAACTTAAGCATCGAATGGGTTTTCTGACATACACCAGTCGATAAACTTACTTGACTTGTGATTTCAGGTGTACGACATTGTTTGATGGAAGTTTAAACTTGATCACAACAAATATGCGTGCGAGAAATGTTTTTTCTCAACAAAGACATTACATTATTCGTTGTTTAAAATGGTAATAATGTCTTATACTTTGTGGGGAACACAAGATTAGGATCAAAGGATAATAAAACAATTTTATTGTGTAAAGACAAAGTTATTCCATATGCTTTTCTTTTTTGGGAGTGCAACCAGCCTTAAGATATTTGGAACCCAAGATGAACTTTTGAAATTGAGAGATGTTAGATCATGAGAATGATATATATGATGGACTAACATAGTACACCTACTTGTGCAGATTACTTTGAAACATAATTAAATATCATTTTAAGTCGTTTTTAAATTATTATTGTAAATTATAAGTACTATCTTAAATATAATAAAACCATTAATGTAGACTGCGCAATTGCCATTACTTATGGAAAATATTTTCCTCCAACCCTTTAGGTAGAAGTTCCTAATGAGGCAATTTATAATTGGCCACTTGCTACTCAAATAAAAATCTATTTAATTTCTTAGCAACTTTTTTGTCATTATCTTTAAGGGAAATTCTAATATGCACACCCTTGAAAATTGTGAACTATATGCACTCCTAATTATACTAATTTTTTCCTTAGTTATAACCAATTTTTTTTTTTAGTTGTGACATTATTTTTCTTATGACTCATGAATTCATTAGCTATGTCTCATGTTGCATTTAGTTATGATATATATTTTTTTAAGTTATGCTTCAAAAAATATGAAATTATATCATTTTATTTTTTAGTTATAAAGTGCATATGGTACACACATTTGCACTTTATATTAATGTTAGAAAACATGTGTTTAGGAATCCAAGGATAATAAAATTATTTTAGAAACTTAAAGAATATAATTTTAGACAAAGATTTAAATTAATAAAAAAAAAAACTATATAAGTTATCGAAAATATTTAGAATTATTAAATACATTTTTTCGTTGACTACCAAAAAGCTATTAAAAAATTGAATAAATTATAGAATGCCACATTGCTTGGGATGTAGGAGATTCTCCATGGTGGGTTGGAGGAAAACATTGTCCCTTACTAAATATATGTTTTCGTTGCACACCAAAAAGCTATTAAGAAATTGAATAGGTTTTGATTTGTGTAACAAGTGATCAATTATAGAATGCCACATCTCTTGGGATGTAGGAGCTCCTCCATAGTAGGTTGGAGGAAAACCTTATCCTAATCATAATATTTTATAACAAATACCCCCAACAAATTATAATCTCTTTATTTGGTTTGCTATTTAGAATTTGTTTTCAATTTTTTTTTCTAAAAACTAAAAATTAATTTAGTGAAAAAATTAAAATTTAAAAAATATTCATCATTTTCATATAGTTTTTGTCTTTTTGAAAGGTAGAAATAATTTTTAAATTCAAAAATATCTTTTAAATATTTATTTTTGTAAAACTATTTTTTATTTTAAGAAAAAAATTAGAAAATAACTTCTGAAAATCAAATCAAATAAAGCAATTGTTTTTCATCAAGTTGATTCTTAAGACTGCAAAGTTCATAACATAATTATAATAGTCGATAACTTTCACTTTACTAGTACATATGATAGATTTCCCATTAGTAACTTTTACCGTAAAATGGCATAACACATCATAAATATTTATAATTCTTACCCAAGAAAATAATGACATTCATACAGTGCATCTATTGTATCCTAATTTATGTTTTTTTTTTTTTTTTCCCTTTTTTTGGATAATTGGATAATCCAAGGTATCTTGTGCCCAACTCAGCCCAATTGGACATGAGTACTCAATTTTTGGAGGCTAAGAACTATTTTTTAGAGGCTTTGAAATTAAAAATTGGGAAAATCTCTAATAATTGATTAAGAGACTCAAATTTGAAATATTAAATCTTCTCATCAAGTCTTTACTGCTCGATGAACCCATAAGGTTATTTGTGTTTTCTAGAAAGGCCCAATTCATGATTTATTACTATTTTGCGTGTATATTCTGTTAGGTGCCTTTCTTAACACTCTGATTGGATAAAAGAGTTTGGTGAGAAAAGAAAAGAAATAAAGAGAAAGAGGTTTTTCATCATTTATTTGGATAATTAATGAGATGAGTAATGGTGTAAAAGAAAATTCACTTTAAACTTAAGTTAGGGTGTGATAGAGAGCTCCAGAGGACTCTAAACCCAACTCTAATGATGTGAAAATTCAAAAAAAAAAATAAAAATAAAAAAAAAATTGCTAAAACGTCACATCAATGGAGTGGGGCCCACCCCTAGAGCTCCTTTAGGGCTCATTTTTTAAAGTTCCAAAACATTTTTGCTTAAATTATGTTTCTCATCAAAAGTGATAAAATTTGGTAAGAAACCAAAATTAGTCTTTACAAAAAATTTACAATACCTAAGTTACCTCTTTAAATATAAGGCAAATACAATAAAAAGGCACATATAATATTTTTTAATCATTGCCACCCAAATAAAATATGAGAAATCACAATTATTTCTTTTCCTTTCTCATCTCGAAATCCAAAAAGAGTGTAAATGTGGTGAGGAAGACCAGAATGAGAATAAACAGCAGTATTACGTAAAGTTATTGCAACTATATGCTTTCCTTTTTGGGGGGGAAAAAGCCCAAATTCTTTACTTGAGTTGTAATTGTTGTAAATTCGACAGTATAAATAATCCATGTACGATGTGTTCCTCCAATCAAAACACAAAGTGCCAATCCTCCAATTGTTTGCACTGCATAGTACATAGTTACATTTATCAATAACAGTTAAATAATGGCTGACCGATTTAGCAAGAGGCAAGTCACTAGCAAGAGGCAAGTCACAATACTTAGCATTGATGGAGGTGGTATTAGGGGTGTCATCCCTCTAGCAGTCCTCCAATTCCTTGAACGTGAACTTGAGGTTTGGTTAGCTAATTATATTCTTAAATTTTTTTTCTTGCTTATAATTTCATTTTGTTATTCAGATCCAATTCATCTAACATATTATTTTATGAAAAATGTTACATATAGATCATATTTTTTATTCCATTTTCTCACTCCAAAACACAAGTAATAAGTCACATATATATTTATGAATGCAAGTCACATTGCTTTATATCTAAAAGTGAGAAAGGAAAAGTAAGAAATAGAATCATGTATAGCATTTCTCTTGATATGTTAAAATTTGATTTTTCTCTAGTGGACTGGATAGTTTAATTACTCGAGAAAAATCCAATCCCATATAGGATTATTTGGGTGATTTCAACATGCAAGTACGTTGAATGCATAATTTAAGAAAAACAATTCATAAATAGAAAATTTATACTTAATTTTATATGAGAATGATGTAATACTGACTTTCTTAAAAAGATTGAACTCCTCTAAGTCGGAACTCTGAACTGGGTGTCTAGTGTGAGAAGTTGATCTTTGCCATATGGACACATTTTTTATTTTTTTATTTTTTTTTAAGTTTAGATTTTGTCCACTTATTTATAAAAAGTATTGATGTGGCAAAATCTTGAGGCCAAACTTTTCTTTCCAGTCCATTGCAGCGTTGGTGCGCGCGTCGTGTCATGTTGGATCATATTCATGATCATTTTCTAGTTAAGTTTTTCTTAACTTTTTTTTATATATTTATTTTAAGAAAAAAATCGAGAGGCTAAGGGGTTGGTTGTATGAATGCGAGTAACAGTAGTAGGGGTATTTTGTACTTTTCAAATCTCTCTCGATGCATGTCATCTTCCTGTACTCTTAATTTCACGCTGTTAAAAAAAAAATTTCTTTGCTGATAAAAAAAAAATATTCATGATCATGTTTTATCATTTTGGCTCAACACTAATTCAATTTTTTTATTATTTCATTTTTTATCGTGTCATATCATTTTTTATATGTATCCAATTAGTATTGTGTGAACATATTATGTCAAAAAAAATTCGCCATTGAATAAATTATTTATAAAAATATTTGGTTTCAACTCAATTTTATTTTTTAAATTTACAAAAACTATATCATATTATAATGTTTTCTTACTAGATTGACTCAAATAAGTAACTCAAATAGTATGGAAAAAATACATTGTCTTCAATTAAAAGAAAAAACAAACCTCATATTAGCCTTAAAATTTTATTTTGCATATGTTTTTAATAAGCCAGATAAAATTACAGAAGAACTAAGTGAAAATAATATTTAATACGTAACTTATTAATCATTATGCGAGTTATCTGCATTAGTTTCATCACATATTCAACATCAACCCGACTTGTCTAAGGAGAAGGTTTTCCTCTAACTTAGGATGTAAGAGATCCTACATCCCAAATAATGTGTCACTCTATAATTGGGTAAGAGATTACACAATTCAAGGAAGAGTTAATTACCTAAAAGTCTTATTTACAAATGTTATGGTAGCTCAGGTTCTATTTAAGATATTTTGAAGCAATAAATCCTATTTAGTAATACTGAGAACTATCAATTTTTTTCATTTTTTAAAACCAAGAACATTATCAATTTTGCATAGTAATATTCTAGATAATTGTTTCACTAACTGATAAAAAAACAGAGCATGAGAATAAACGTTTTTGCCCTTCTACTTATTGGTTTATTTCAACTATCCAATAAAACCGAGAACATTATCAGTTTTAATGTTATCAATTTTTTCATTTTTAATTTTTTTTTCAATTTTGCACATCAATGTTCCATCATCATACTCTTTTATAGAAACAAAATTTTTAGTTTTGCACAAAAAATAATTCAATTTTTTCAAAAAAAAAAATTATTTATTTATTTTGCATGTAATTTTTTTTTTTAGTTTTTTCAATTTGAAAGTTGATATTTTAAATTTTTGAAAATCAAAATAAATGTCAAATTATCATGTTCCTTTATAGATAATCATAAATGATGAAAAATCATTATTTGAAGGACAATTCTGACTTTTAAAAATTCAATGAGACTTGAAGGTCAAAAAAATCTTAGTTGAAATTTAATGGAGTATAAGTTTATATATTAGGACTTGTGTGTAAATGTCCCTGCAAAAAAAAGTTATGTTTGGAATCCTACTTATCCTAGGTAACTTATTTATGGTTTTTTTAATTAATTTTTTATCCAAAAATATAAAATTCAATATGGTAATATTTGCAGGGCTTATCAGCTAATTTTTATTTGTTTATTTTTTGTACGATTAAATTGTTTTACAGTTGTATTGCACAATTAATCCTGCTTGAAAATTTGCATATATCAAATAACATTGTGTATCGTAGAATTTTGTTAAAAAAAAATAAGTATGTTTTGTTTTGTTTTTGAAAAATAATTTTGAGCTTTTGTATTTCAATTTTTTTTTTATTTTGTCTTTAGTAACTTTTTCATATTTTAATCAAAATTTTAAAGTTTTTAATTGTGATGTACTTTAAAATAATTGTGAAGAAATCTAAAAAAAATTATTTACTATAAACAAATAAAAATTAAAAGCGAAAAATGGCATATTTTAGTTTTTTTTTTTTTTTTGATAATTTTTTCTATATTTCTTCCACATACAATGTTGTCTAATGTATGTAGATTTTCAATAGATATTAATTGTGTAACACAATTGCTGAACAATTTGATCGTGATAAAAAATAAAAATAAAAATAAATAAATAATAAAAAAAAAGAGCAAGAAGGAAAAAAAATCTAGTGATGGGTCATCCAAAATTTACCAAAAATAAATTATATATTTTTAGATAATAATTTAATTACAAAAAATACATAACTTATTACTTAAAATAAATAGGATTCCAAATACATGTACAATCTCTTGGCCAATCTTTAAGGTGACACATTGCTTAGGATGTAGATACATCCTAGTTTGGGGGAAAACATTTTCCCGTGTAATATTCATATTCTCATTACGCCGTATCAAATACATATTCGTATCAGAAAATGATCAATATATAATATCAATAAAATTTTAGTTTTAAGTGACAGAAAGCGCCCAAGCTAGTCTACCTTATTTTGTGTAAATTTTGAAGACCAAAATTGAACATCTAACTTAAAATGCTACTGCTAATGTCTATGATGTGAACAATGTGTAGATTCTGGAAAATGGCAATAAACAAAAACAAGAGGGAGAGGCAAGTAACAAGAAGGCGAGGCTTGCAGACTACTTTGATGTAATCGCAGGAACAAGTGCAGGAGCACTTATCACATCTTTGCTTGCTATACCATCACCGCGCACTGCAGAAGAAATTATTGATTTGTTCTATAAGGAAGGCCCTAAAATCTTCAGCAATCCAGGCGATATAATAGAAGAAAATTCCGAACAAGACACCACACCAACCAGGTAAAAATCAAAGCGTTGGGAGGGATAGTTTCTATTCCACATTTTTTGTGGATGGAATGGCCTAGTTTTGGTTCGTGGGTTCATCACATGTTTCACTTCTACAATTCAATCTGCTAATCTTATAAATTTCCGAGTCAAGATCATTTATTAAAAAAAAAAAAAAATTCTTATTGATCTTATAATTTCAACCACTTAATTTCATCATAATTTTTTTTAGGAAAATTTATCCATAAGTCCTAATTTCTGAAAAGTTGAACCATTTAGTCCTAAAAATTTTCTTATGCTCCATTTAGTCCCATTTGCACATCAATCTAATGTTTGAAACATTAATCTGATGTTCGAAATCTAATGTTCGAAACATTAATCTGATGTTTGAAACATTGTAATGGGACCTTTCAGTCTATAAAAAAACTTTTAGGACTAAACAGTGTATAAGTTATTAATTTGGGATTTATTGGTGCATCCCCTTTTTTTTTTATAAAAAAACAAAAACTCTAAAAATAAATTGTTCATTATTTTAGAGGAAAACATATTGCATGTGGTTTAGTTTTGAAATTGTGATTCTCTTTTTAGAATTGTGATTTAAGTGTTGAATTGTGAGTTAATTTTTGAAAAGAAAAAATTTGATTCGTTATGAGTTTTAAAAAGTGTTCTGAAAAAAGTTTTGAAATGAATTTTTGAATTTTGAATTGTGAAAAGAGCGAATTGGGTCTATCCGGTCATCTGCCCGGACATCCTCCCGAACGTCTGGCCGATTGGCCGGCTAGTTGACCGGAACAGTGCAATTTTTTTTCTTTTTTGCAATTGCAACCTGTTATTTGAATATATATATATATATATTTGTTTTAGATATTTTTAAGTATAAAAATTATTTTTTTAGATTTTTTATAAAAATAAATTAACAATTTCATTACTAACCATCTTGAACACTATATCATCAAAAGAATTTTGAAAAGAATTTTGAATTGAATTTTGAGTTGTGTGTTTGGTTATAAGTTTTAAAATTAATTTTTAAATTGAGTTATGAGTAATTTTAAATTGTGTGTTTAGTTATAAATTTTAAAAAATAATTTAAAAATTTACTTTTAAAATCATGATTCTAAAAACAAACCAAAAGAAGCCATAATTTTTTTTAATAACTGAACCACACGCCATGACCTATAAAAGGAACAAATCAATTCATCCACGAACCAAAATAACTTTGTCCAGTCCACAATAATGGACAGGAGACAGTCCATTCTCAAAAGGCTCGGGAGATTTAAAAGAATAAAGATGGAGAGTTTTAAAAAAAAAGAGTCCTACAAGAGTTTTAATGGGGGCGGGGACTCATATGTGATATGATGTGTGTGAGTGTAATTTTTTTTTTTATAGTAATAGAGAACTCTAAAACTAGAGTTCTAATATGAACTCTAATAATGTGGCAAGCAGCAAAAAAAAAAAAAAAAAAATCTAAAAGATCAAATCACCATGTGGGATACACCATTAGAGTTTTAATTTAGGCTAAACTATTGATAGGTCTTAATAGTTGGACTTAATTCTCATAAAGTCTTATTGAAAATAAGTCTTGATAAAATTGTCTAAAAAATTTATTTTTTTGTGATAATTTTTTCCATAAGTCACTAAAAATTGATAATTTGGTGACCCTTTTTGTCATGATTTTTATAAATTATCGTTAAAATTTACAATTAGTAATTTTTTTTTATAACAAATTTTTCTCATAAAACCTATTAGATAATAAGTTCACTTATTACGACTTATACGTAAGTACCCCTTTAATTTATTAGAACTCTCAAATTAGAACTTCCAAACATTATTGTGTTTCGTTTTAGTTTTTTGAATTTAGTTTTTTAAAATATTTTTTTTTTCATGTATTTTTTTTAGAGAATATTTTAAAAATTTTAAGTTATTTTTTATATTTTTTTAGATGCACCTTACTTAGATATATTTAAATAGTAAAATATTTGTGAAAAAATATTTTTAAAAAATTAATAAATACACAAAAACATAAAAAATCTACTGAATTTTCGTATTTGTTTTGTATTTTTTGATATTTAGTGTATTTTTTAAAGATTTTTTTCACAAATATTTTACTTTCCAGTGTATTTATGTTAGGTGTGTTTAAAAATTTAAAAAAAAAAATGCTTAAAATATTAAAAAAAATAATTAAAAACATTAAAATAAAAAAATAGAATTTTTTAAAAATTATTTTTTGAAAATTAGAACCAAACAAACTAGTGGCTATTATATAAATAAAAATGCTATTATCTAAATAAACAAACCTTTTATGTGATTTTTTTTTTTTTTTTTTTTTTTTAAGTATGTTAGGCAAAGCGGCCAACTGGTACTATAAAAAAACAAAGAAGACTGTAAAGAAGACTGTAAAAGAGCTACGGGCAGGTCGTCTAAAAGTAATATATGACAATTGGATGGAACCGATCAGAGCAATTCTTAACCCAGTTTACAATGGGGAACGTCTTAATGAGGTTGCTGAGAAAGTGTTGGGAAAAGATACTCTGTTAAAGGACCTATCAACCAATATTGTTATCCCAACCTATGATGTCCAAAAAGATTCTCCAGTTGTCTTCACTACTCGACTCGTACGTCTCTCTATCTCTCTACAAGCATAACAGGCACTCCAACTTTCTTTCTCTACTTGTTTACTAACATATAATTATTGAGAAAATCATTTTTTAAAAAATAATCTCTAATTTGAGTCTTTTAATAAAAGAAAATATAAAATTTTAATTTTGATAATTTTAAACTTAAAACTTATAATTTTTTTAATTTAATCCATTTATATATTTTCAATAAGCAAAACTAACGAAAACATGCTATTGTAGTCATTATTATATTCAATCTAGCTATACCAAAAATGTCAAAAAAAAAACATTTATTGAGTTTAATGACAAATTAATTGACTATGATGTTAATATACCTTTGGATCATACTTACTATACATATTCGTACGTACAATGATAATACAACACAAGATCTACTATTTCTGTTTCACTCAAAAATGACAAATATTATTGTAGTGGCTTATCAATTTCTCAAATCTCAACTCTCTCTCTTATCATATCGGTTTGGGAAGTGGGTTGACTTTTTAGCTATTTTAGTTTGGGCTAAAAAGTTTGGTTTGTGAAGGGCTTTTTGACTTTTTTGATTTTTTTTGTGAAAAAATAGTGTAATAATTATGGGTTGGATGTGATGTTTTTTTGTTGTAGCTAAAATAGCCTATTTTGTCTTTTGTGGCTAAAATAGCCACAAACCAGCTTGCCAAACGGACATAAAGTATTTGTTTTGATTTATTAATGATTTTACCAAAATAAAAAAAAATTAATTTTAACAAATTAATTAGCTAGTTGAAACAAAATAAAAAATAAAAAAATTTGGCAATTGGACCTAGCTCAAGTTTAATTTATTAAGGCAATTTGGGTTGGAGGTCATATCTAAGTGGATTAGAACAACTCTCATCACAACTCAAATTGGGCCTAGGCAACTCTTCAACAAGATCTGATCAATGCAAATTACACTCCTAATTGTGATTTTATCTATTTTGACATTTTATTCACCATTCATTAACAATGCAACGTGTGTTTCGTTATGTGAAATTGACTAATTACATATATAAATATATAATAAAAAAATATGCAGGCCAAGGATCAAAATTGGAAGATAAAATTGAAAGATGTAGTTGTCAGCTCAGCTTCTGCTCCATATTATTTCCCTCCCAATGAATTTGAAGTTGACGGCAAACACTATAATCTCGTTGATGGTGGTGTCGTCGCTAACGATCCTGTAACATCTCTCTCTCTCTCTCTATTTATTTTTATTTTTTTATTTTTAAGGCTTCGTTTGGAAAGAAGGGTTAGGTTGAGTTTCAGGCTATTTTAGCTACATAAAGACAAAATAGATTTTTTAGCTCAATAAAACAAAACATCACATCTAACCCATAATCATTACATTTTTTTTCTCACAAAAAATCAAAAAAACTAAAAAATCCTTCCCAAACGAGGTTTTTTGACCCAGACTAAAATAGCCAAAAAGCCAACTCACTTCCCAAACGAACCCTAAGTAGATTACAGATTGCTATATTTATATTTGGTGTTTTTTTATTTTGACTTTTAAAATTTATTTTTTTCTCACTTTAACCATTTATGTTTAAATTTTTTTCAATTTACTTTAAAAACTAACTTATGTTCAAAGGTAGACATAAAATATCACATTAACTGCCTCATAATATAAAAAATATATTATTAAATTGGGATTTGAGTTTGCTTTAGATGTGTAAGTTATACATAATAAAATATTTTTTTATATTACATAACTATCAATGTGTTATAATTTTATACATAAATTAACTTTTAGAATAACTTAGAAGAGACTTGAAACATAAAGGGTCAAAATGGGGAAAAAAAAAACTTTATAAGGGCCAAAATGAAAAAATAAATAATAATAAAAAAAAGATATAAACATAAAATGGGTAAAGTGTAATTTGCCCTTGTTTTTTTTTTTTTGGTTCTATTTTTTGTGGTCAATTTCACTAATGGTGGCTTGCTTTGGCAAGTTAGCAAAAAGCTAGCTTTTCGCTTTTTTAGCCAAAAAAATTAGCTTTTTTACCCAAGTCATTATTCAAAAAATTAGCTTTTTTGGTTAAAAAAAATCAAAAGTCAATTTTTTATCAACTTTTCAAAACACCACATAGTATAGGTTTTATTACACTTTTCTACCTAAACTTTTAATTATTCCATTTTGATCACCAAAGTTTATAGCATTTTACGCTTCAGTTCTTTATATAAATACCATTCAAAATCAATAAATGCAACGAGGGATGTTTTTTAAATTTTATAAGAGGCATCAACTAAAATAAAAAGGCCTTAAAACATGCAAGTCATTTCCTTACAATTGTTTGTCCCTAATCTTTCAATTTTGTTACATTTAATTTAAAAAAGTATAACATATATATATGCATTTTCTTGTTATTGATTTGAACGGTATTGATGTTATAGGGACTGAAATGAAATAAATTGTGAACTTTGGGAACCACAAACGGAAAAATTAAACAATTAGAGACTAAGCCTCCGTTTGGAAAGTGGGTTGGCTTTTTAGTTTTTTAGCTTTTTGGCTATTTTAACCTGGGCTATTTTAGCCTGGTTTGGGAAGAACTTTTTGACTTTTTGACTTTTTTGACTTTTTTTGTGACAGATGATTGTAATGATTATCGGTTAGATTTGATGTTTTATTTTTTGTGGCTAAAATAGCCTATTTTGTTTTTTGTGACTATTTTAGCCAAAAAAACCTGACTTTTTTCTTCCCAAACGGAACCTAATGTAACTTAACAGGATGAGTAATTATTGGGTGCTCTTAAAGCACCATGTGACATTGTTCAAGTGGTGATGCAAACTAATGAAGTAGCAAAAAATCTTAAGTAGGACATAATCAGTGGCCTATGTACATAGGGATAAGGGGGTTACGTGGCCTCCCGAGTTTTGGATTTTATTTTATTTATTTATTTTTTTTTACATGTGTATAAATAAAATATTTTAAATAAAATATTTATACAAAAATAATATTTTGAATGAAATGTTAATAACATTTTAAAATTATGAAAACAATACTAGTTATTTTTATTAAAAGTAAAAGAAATCATAATAAGTTAGGGATGGTCACAGAGCGGGTTTACCATTCCCTGCCTTCACCTCCACAGACAAAACCATCCCCACTCCTACCCCCGTTCCTACCCTATCTCTGCTACGGGTGAAAATTTTCAACCTCACCCCCATTTTTCCGAATATCCACAAATACCTGATACCTGCAGATACCCAACCACATTTCAAATAGCCAAAAAAATTTGATAACTATTTAAATCCTTAGTACACTAAATAATTTTCCTTGTTCCACACATATAAACAGTGAGACTTTTAGAATTATTATTTATTTGTATTCAAACAGAACTATAGACTGTTATTATTCCATTATTATATCTAATTATATTATATTATATTATATTACATACGTTATTATTCCATTCTTATATCTAATTATATTATATACATATTATTATTATTATATCAGGTCGGGTTTTGATTAAAGAAGGCAATACCTATTCTCGTTTCACCACCATTGCGGGTAACTAAAATATAATCCACCCCTGCCCCACATAAATGTCAGGGAAGGTAAAATCCGCCTCATTCGATTTTGGTATGGACATGCCTCACGGATCAGATTAAAATGGTCATCCCTAAGTGATACCCATCATTGTTGAATGTGAAAGTTACTGAATATGTGGAAGTTAACACCACTATGTATATGTGGAAGTTACTGAATTGTTAATTATATTTGATATTTAGGGTTCACCCATCATGTGTTACTTTATTATCGATTGCTAATATCATGTGTCAATAATGATATATATCACTATTATATTGAATTTTTATTCAAATTTTGAACAAAATATTTATTTATCATTATATAATTTATTTTAAATATTGTATATATGACTTTTTTATATTGTTTATTATACACTATTTATAAGTAACACAATCTTTTCGATCTTTCTCAAAGTAAATCATAAAATTTTATATGAAATACTTTTGTAATAATTTATTTAAGTTTTGTGCTTAATATTAATTCAAAAGTGCTTAATATTAATTCAAAAATTATTATTATTATCTTATTATTGTTGGTTACCAATTTTTTTTTTTAAAAAATTGTAATTAATAAGTGCACCTTCTGATTTAATTTTCTAGCTCCATCACTGGACATAATGGCTCACCTTTGTTAGATAATTTGGATATTAGGGATGACCCACTTAGATAATGCCACATGATACACCAAAGGGAATGAAAATACGATTGTGCTTAAAAGCACAGTAGGCTGCCTCATTAGGGTCGGTACCGGATATATTTGAATAATTCGAACGGTTCATATTGTAGAATTTGTAAAATAAAAGATTTATAACAAAAATCAAGTCAATCGGACATTCGTAACCACATGATCAAGGCCTTAAAAATAAATAATTTATTATCAAAATCATATTTACCGTTTACTTCAAGGGAAAAAAAAGTGACATCATATTACATATGCCCAACTGACTTTATTTTTTTTTTTAATAGATGATCTACTTAATAGACTATACAATATAAACAATTTAAATCATCGAGATAAAACTGATATAAATATTGACTCACAAAAGGGGCACAACAGCATCCCTTTTTCTTACTTTGGATACCAATAATGTAATTTTGATTATAATTTTTGGTGTAATGGCTGACACAATGTGGATGTGGGTGGGTTGCAGACAATGTTAGCCATAAGAGAAGCAAGCAAGTTGTTTCCAGAAGCAGGGGACTACAGTAATTATCTAATACTATCACTTGGAACCGGAAAGGAAAAGCTTTCAGGTGGTAGGCCTCTTCTAACTGGTGCTGGAATCTTTGATTGGTTCTGTGGTTTAGAATCCATTAAGAATCTCAGCCTGAAAATTCCGCCGTTAGTGGATATGTTATTTAGAGTCTCAGAGGACATTACAGTTATGATGACTTCTTACACCCTCGGAGAACGTAATCTCCGTAATTACCTCAGAATCCAGGTACACCACTCCCTCCCTCGCTCTAATACTTTTTTGTCTCAAAATATTAATATCTTTTTTTTTTTTTTCGCGGACTTAATTTTTTTAATGATGTAATTATTACACTTTAAAAATATTAATTTTTTAAAATTATCATTTAATAGTTCTTTCGCCATTTCAAAATATTAGTCCCTTATTTTATTTTTTATTATTCTAAAATATTAGTCTTTTTTCCAAAAATTAAGGACAAAAATATTATAAATTTCCTATTTTGCCATTTTTTTACATTCATTAATAACATAAAAAGTACAATTATGACAATTGATATTTCCTAAAAAATGTAATATCAAAGGGTAATTTTAGAAAATTAATTTTTTTTTAAGTGCAATAATTGTACTATTAAAAAAGGTTTTAAATTTTCCAAGAGAGGCCATTATTTTGGGACGAAGGGAGTATATTTTTTAAAAAATATCAATTGTCATAATTGTACTTTTTATATTGTTAATAAATTTAAAATAATGGCAAAATAAAAGATTCATGTTATTTTAGTTTTTAATTTTTTTCAAAAATGACTAATATTTTAAAATAATAAAAAATAAATTAATAAATTAATATTTTAAGACGGAGGAAAGATGCCAAATGTTGTTGTCCTAGATTTATGAAAGGTAAATTACAATAAATCCCTTTAAATTATGACTCATTTCTATTTATTGAATTTTTAAAATAATAATACATGTTAATCATTATTAAAAACTAATAATAATTTTATCAAGTGATTGCATTTATACTTTGTCTCGCTTATCTTAATGACAAATTGAACATGAGGTCACCAGATAATAACATTGTTGCCCTAAGAATTTAGTAAATGTGTCATGTGCTTTACATATTATTTGATTTTTACAAAAATAATAAATGTAATAAGATAATATTTTGATAAGATTAACTGTTGAGTTTTAAAGTTTAATGGGACAAAATGTAAATGAATCATAGTTTAAAGAGATTTATTGTAATTTATCCATTTATAAACCATAAAAATTGTCCCGTTAATTATTTATAATACCCTAACACTTTTATCAAAATCTGATTTTAATCTCTCCATTTTCAATTACAACAGTCAATTCTCTATATTTTAAGTTAAGTTGCAATCTCACTCTTTCATCCATCTGCCGTTAACAAAGTTGACATAATTTGTTATTGAAGCATGTGACATTTTGTTGTCTCATTGACACCTTTACATTTTTATTAAAATCCCACTTTAATTGTCACAATTTTACTATAATCTCACTTTAGTTCCTCATCTTTCAATTTTCGTTAGCTTTATTAACAGTCGGTGAGCAGAATGGTGAGATTGGAATTTGATTTAAAGTATAGACAGTTGACATTTACAATTAAAAATGAAATTTTGATTAAAGTATAGAGTACTAACTATAATTTATCCATAATTTGTGAAGAAAATAATAATGTGGTGTAGATGAAGAATTAAAGTATTGTAAGCCACGTCTAAAATAAATCTCATCTACACAAATGCCGATAAAATATTGAGTCCAACACCATCTTATATAATATAAACGGTAAAAAAAAAATATGACCAATGAAATTATTATTATTATTATTTTATCTTTTACTATTTCAATCATATCATTTCGAGGTTATTTTAGATTTCTAGATAAATTATACTTTTAGTCTTTGTAATTTGATTTAAATTTCTATTATTTTAAATTTAACAATTTGATTACTACATTTTAAGTTTAGTGTTAATTTGGTCAATCCATTTAAGTTAAAGTTTAAAATTAACATTTAAGACACTTTTTAATCTCTTAAGGTGTTGACATAGAAAAAATTAACAAAAATGTTGACGGAATGACCAAATTGAAATTGGATGTGTAAGGATTAAATTATTCAAATTAAAATAAAATTTAAATCAAACTATAAAAAAAGTGAAAAATGTAATTCACCTTAGAATTATAATTGGCCGTACTATAACTACAAGACAAACCACAAGAAGTCACATGTTCTTCCATTTTAAACTTTGAGTAGTGCCATTAAGATGGGTCACAGATACTCCCATGATTTTGTGCCCACATAATGTATGATGTTCTATTAGTCATTTTGTGAGTTTTATTTGTGTTTTAAGTCTATATTCACTAGCATTTTCCGTAAGTGGGCTAACTCTTTCTCCCAAGAAAACATAGAAAAACTCTATGAATACAGAATTAGAACACACGAATAACTTATAAAGATGAAATAAAGGGCAATAATATTAATTCATGCATGCATAGATACTAACAATGAAATAAATGGACTTAACAGGATTACGAATTGAAGCCAGAGCATGCTGCGATTGACAATGTGAATCCGAAGAACATTGATGATCTAAAACGTATTGGTCGTGACCTTATTTCCAGATATGTTGCAATTCCTAACTCGGAAACTGGCTTGCCTAAAGTAATATTTAAAGAAGATGAAAAGAACCATTCCCCCAACAATCTTCCCCCAAAAAATCAAGATGAGCTCAAATGGTAAGACTTATCGTCATTCATCACCTACTACTATACAAAACATTTTATGATGATCAAGTTCATGAATATATATTTCTAATTAATATATAATGTTAATTGTGAATTAATTAGCTTGGTGTGCCAATGAGATCACCATATATACAAATTCAGGACCGGCCCTGAGATTTGTGAGGACTAAGGTGAACTATGAAAATAGGACTCCTCTAATAAATATTTTTTTAAATAAAAAATTTATGCATAAAATGATAAGTATCAACAAATTTTTTATTTAAGTACTTGCACATATAATTATTAAAATTATAAACTAAAACTTACTTTCATATATTAAGATAGGAAGAAATCAGTACAATAACTAAAAAACATTAAAACCTGGTTTTGTTTCTTTATAATTTAGCAATATCTAGTTTACAATTGACCCAATGATCACTTAAATACTACTCTTCTTGTATTTTTAACTACAAAACCACTAATTAAGTTTGTATTATTTAATTTATTTACCAAATCATTTTCAATAGACAACATAGTTAATCCATTCAATCTTTCTTGTGACATTGTTGATCGAATGTAAGATTTGATCAATTTTAACTTTGAAAAACTTCTTTCTCCATAGGCAACGGCAACTGGAATAGTCAACAATATTCTATAATAAATTATCAGTGATGCTACATAGTCTTGAAAAGCCATCCAAAAAAAAAAAAAAAAAACTAAGTTTTGTTTCTTTATAATTTAGCAATATCTAGTTTACAATTGACCCAATGATCACTTAAATACTACTCTTCTTGTATTTTTAACTATAAAACCACTAATTAAGTTTGTATAATTTAATTTATTTACCAAATCATTTTCAATAGGCAATATAGCTAATCCATTCAATCTTTCTTGTGACATTGTTGATCGAAGGTAGGATTTGATCAATTTTAACTTTGAAAAACTTCTTTCTCCAGAGGCAATGGCAACTGGAATAGTCAACAATATTCTATAATAAATTATCAATGATGCTACATAGTCTTGAAAAGCCATCCAAAAAAAAAAAAAACTAAAGTACGTGAACTAGATTCATCTTAAATATGTGGGCTAAATTTAAATTTACACCATACACTTCTTATTCCTAATAACTTTTCTGATTTTTGGACTTGTAATTTTTTTATTAGCTTACAAAGTCTTCCTAACTCTTTGCAGTTTTGCTAAAAGATTGTACGATGAAAGGAGACGTCGTATGCTATCTAATTAAGAAGTGTTTGGCCTCATTAATAATTTAGCTTTGGTGGCAATTATGGCACTGATATGTTTTATGTTTATGGTTTGCATTGGAGTTCGTCGTGTTGGATTCGTTTGACTCAAAGAATAAGTGTTGGATTCATATGACTCAAAGAGTCGTGTTGGATTCATTTATCTCTATAGCTACTAATGATGTTGGTTTGGTATTTTTTTTATTATTTTATTATCATAAATAAAACGAGAGAGAGAGATGGATAACCTCTCTATCAATTGAATGTCAAAAATTCATCTGTGTAACAAGATATTGCTTTCTTCTAATTATGTCTTCTTATTCATGTTTATCGCTACGGAAAATTACACATCCGGTGACTAAAATATTAGTCGCCAAAGCCCAATCTTTTGGTCGCCGAAAGTCAATGGTGACTAAAACGTTTTGTTGCCCAGGTAGTTGGGTATACCTTGTCGGCAATAGTATTGGTGACTAAAATTTGTTTGGTTGCTAATTTACAACTTTCAACTACTAAAATATTAGTCGCCGAAAATTTTTACATAATAATGAATTCAACTATTGCCGTCTACATTTTAGTTGCTAAAAGTAAGAGAAATACCGACTAAATTACTTTTAGTAGCTATAGATTAATGGTTTTACGGACTAAAATTTTTTAAAGTCGTCCAAAATCGTAGTTTCAGCAACTAAAATTCAATTAGTCGCCAAAAGTAAAATAAATACCGACTAAATTATTCTTACTAGCTAAAGATTGTATGAGGGACCAAAATTAGTCCCTAATAGGTACAATGAATTAGGGACCAAAATTGGTTTTTGGTTGCCCAAAATCATATTTTCAACGAATAAAAATTCCCTTGTCACCAAAAGTAAGAGAAATACCGACTAAACTATATTTAGTAGCTGATGATTTTACCTTTGCCAACCAATTTTTATTTAGTAGCTAAAGTGGCTATCTTTGACGACTAGATTTTTTTTAGTAGCGAAAGTATGTGTCTTTGGTGACTAAATTTTTTTTGTAGGCATTTTTAGTTGCCGAATGTGTAATTTCTTGTAGTGGCTCAATTCATCAACTTAATGAAATTAAGGGACTGTTGGGATTTTTAAATAAAATTTATTTCAAAATACAAGGTTCAGTTTTTACAAAATATTGTTATTAATATTTTGTGATATCATGCATAACCCTTTTCTTATTATATGGATATAGGATTTCAATTGCTTTAAATGGTTTATTATAATTTGCATGAGTTAATTGTTATGTATTGAGGCTAAGTGCAGACACTTTAGTTTACCCAATAGTTCATGTAGTTATTTTTGGGACAGTGAAAGTTAGAGATTTAAGATTCAAGCCGATAAATTGATTGCGACTCTTTTGTAATATTCTAATTTACTAACCTACTAATATCCTATCATGATCCAAAAAAATAAAACTAAGTGCTATAATTGTTTAATAAAGTTTTAGCCATGCATTTTCCATTTTGTTAGACTGATATTTAGGTGTGAAAACTCTTAAAACACTCGAGATATTGATTCGTGATTATGTTTCAATTTTAAATAAGGAATATCAATCTTAATCAAACAATCAACAACAAATCGGCACAATGATTTAATGTAAAAAAATTCACAATTGAAGGACCTTCAATTGGGATAAAAAATCACAGCCCAAAGCCACAAAACAATCTATTAAGAAAACAAAAAGGAATTACAAATGAGTATCCTTAATTACCTATCAAATCCATGCCCGAATTGAACCAAACCCGTCGTGCCTCTTCCACTACCGTCTTGACCTCGAAATTGCTTTGCCCAACATTGAATCCACAATGTTGATGTCGAATTTACAACGATGAGCCACTTTGGAATCCACCAAAGCTTCAGTTTCTAGTTCTCCAGAATCCACTGAACACTACAACAAATTTGGGATTTAAAGACGAAACAAATTTGTCAAAAAATGTATATATTTCGTCACTTAAACTAATTAGGACGAAAATTTTTCGTCAACCGTTTTGTTGCCAAAGCATCGTCGCTAAAGGGTCTTAGAAACGAAAAAACAAATTCGTCATTGAAAATGATAAATTTGTGACGAATTTTTTTGTCTCCAATACACTCTGTTGAGAACATACTTGTAAGTAATTAGCGACAAAATATTTTGTCATTAAAGGAAGAAATTAGAGACAAAAGCATTTTGTCATAAATATAAGAAATAGAAACGAAATAATTTTGTCACGTTCAATATAAACGAAGACGAAATTTTTTTATCAAAGAAGCTACCAATAGAGACAAAAACAAATTCATCATTAAAAATGATAAATTTGTAACGAATTTTTTGTCTCCAATACACTCTGTTGGGAACATACTTATAAGTAATTAGCGACAAAATATTTTGTCATTAAAGAAACGAGAGAGAGAGATGGATAACCTCTCTATCAATTGAATGTCAAAAATTCATCTGTGTAACAAGATATTGCTTTCTTCTAATTATGTCTTCTTATTCATGTTTATCGCTACGGAAAATTACACATTCGGTGACTAAAATATTAGTAGCCAAAGCCCAATCTTTTGGTCGCCGAAAGTCAACGGTGACTAAAACGTTTTGTTGCCCAGGTAGTTGGGTATATCTTGTCGGCAATAGTATTGGTGACTAAAATTTGTTTGGTTGCTAATTTACAACTTTCAACTACTAAAATATTAGTCGCCGAAAATTTTCTCATAAAAATGAATTCAACTATTGTTGTCTACATTTTAGTTGCTAAAAGTAAGAGAAATACCGACTAAATTACTTTTAGTAGCTATAGATTAATGGTTTTAGGGACTAAATTTTTTTAAAGTCGTCCAAAATCCTAGTTTCAGTAACTAAAATTTAATTAGTCGCCAAAAGTAAAATAAATACCGACTAAATTATTTTTACTAGTTAAAGATTGTATTAGGGACCAAAATTGGTCCCTAATAGGTACAATGAATTAGGGACCAAAATTGGTTTTTGGTTGCCCACAATCATATTTTCAACGAATAAAAATTCCCTTGTCGCCAAAAGTAAGAGAAATACCGACTAAACTATATTTAGTAGCTGATGATTTTACCTTTGCCAACCAATTTTTATTTAGTAGCTAAAGTGGCTATCTTTGACGACTAGATTTTTTTTAGTAGCGAAAGTATGTATCTTTGGTGACTAAATTTTTTTTAGTAGGCATTTTTAGTCGCCGAATGTGTAATTTCTTATAGGGGCTCAATTCATCAACTTAATGAAATTAAGGGACTGTTGGGATTTTTAAATAAAATTTATTTCAAAATACAAGGTTTAGTTTTTACAAAATATTGTTATTAATATTTTGTGATATCATTCATAACCCTTTTCTTATTATATGGATATAGGATTTCAATTGCTTTAAATGGTTTATTAGAATTTGCATGAGTTAATTGTTATGTATTGAGACTAAGTGCAGACACTTTAGTTGACCCAATAGTTCATGTAGTTATTTTTTGGGACAGTGAAAGTTAGAGATTTAAGATTCAAGCCGATAAATTGACTGCGACTCTTTTGTAATATTCTAATTTACTAACCTACTAATATCCTATCATGATCCAAAAAAATAAAACTAAGTGCTATAATTGTTTAATAAAGTTTTAGCCATGCATTTTCCATTTTGTTAGACTGATATTTAGGTGTGAAAACTCTTAAAACACTCGAGATATTGATTCGTGATTATGTTTCAATTTTAAATAAGGAATATCAATCTTAATCAAACAATCAACAACAAATCGGCACAATGATTTAATGTAAAAAAATTCACAATTGAAGGACCTTCAATTGGGATAAAAAATCACAGCCCAAAGCCACAAAACAATCTATTAAGAAAACAAAAAGGAATTACAAATGAGTATCCTTAATTACCTATCAAATCCATGCCCGAATTGAACCAAACCCGTCGTGCCTCTTCCACTACCGTCTTGACCTCGAAATTGCTTTGCCCAACATTGAATCCACAATGTTGATGTCGAATTTACAACGATGAGCCACTTTGGAATCCACCAAAGCTTCAGTTTCTAGTTCTCCAGAATCCACTGAACACTACAACAAATTTGGGATTTAAAGACGAAACAAATTTGTCAAAAAATGTATATATTTCGTCACTTAAACTAATTAGGACGAAAATTTTTCGTCAACCGTTTTGTTGCCAAAGCATCGTCGCTAAAGGGTCTTAGAAACGAAAAAACAAATTCGTCATTGAAAATGATAAATTTGTGACGAATTTTTTTGTCTCCAATACACTCTGTTGAGAACATACTTGTAAGTAATTAGCGACAAAATATTTTGTCATTAAAGGAAGAAATTAGAGACAAAAGTGTTTTGTCATAAATATAAGAAATAGAGACGAAATAATTTTGTCACGTTTAATATAAAAGAAGACGAAATTTTTTTATCAAAGAAGCTACCAATAGAGACAAAAACAAATTCATCATTAAAAATAATAAATTTGTGATGGATTTTTTGTCTCCAATACACTCTGTTGGGAACATACTTATAAGTAATTAGCGACAAAATATTTTGTCATTAAAGAAATAAATTAGAGACGAAAGTATTTTGTCATAAATATAAGAAATATAGACGAAATAATTTTGTCACATTTAATATAAACGAAGACGAAATTTTTTTTGTCAAAGAAGCTACCAATAAAGACAAACAAATTCATCATTAAAAATGATGAAATAATGTCAAAAAAATCGTCACACATTGAGGGTAATAGTGACAAAATGTGACAATATTTTTCGTCATGACAAATTCATTTAGCAACGAAATAAAGAATTCATGACAAAATTAATCTTCCACTAAGCCAAATAAGAGACGAAAAAACCTTCTTTAGGGATGGAAAATTTTGTCACTAATTTCATAATATTTTTTTCCACATTATATACCTATTTTATCAAAATCTGAATTTTAGTTCAACAATATAACCCTATTCATGTTGAAACTTGTTCCATTCACAACTTAACCTAACCTGTCATCAACACATTTACGAATTAACAAAATAAAAATATCCATTCATCATTACAAATAATTTCATCATAATACAATAAAATAGTGCAATATCCACAAAATATCCAAAAGTTATAACTTGTACAATTCTAACAATAACTGGTGCAACTCCACAAAGTATGTGTATCCTTATCAAACAAAATGAACATTCAAGCAAATTACATCATTGTTGCACGTCAAAAATGCCACCCCAATCTAATCTGCAATACAAAAAAAATTAAAAGCTTTAGTAATTAATTAATTATACAAAAGATTAAAAACATTAG